ATGACGGGGTATAAGCTAGTAAGGGGAGGGATAATGGAGGTTTTTGAGCCCTCTTTCCCAACTTCCCTAACCTTTTTTCAGTCACAGTGTTGCAGTAATCAGCAGGTGGTGTGTGATAGCTGTTACAGTGCCAATGCACTGATCCTGGCGGATTGCACTCTTCACTTTTTTGTTGTTAGAACTTTATTGAAATTAGTGATAATGGAGCCTTTTGAGCCCTCTATCCCTTTGAGTGGCAAGTTCTGCGGGCACAGCACAGTGCAATGTGGTAGTACCTCGTTGCGGCCTGCTGCGCTGAAAAGAAGTACTGCATGCAGTACTTTTTTCAGCTCACACCACTGCAACATGGTGGTGTGAACTGTGCCCACCTGTGACAATGCAGATTGCCTTCTCTTACGTTGTGGCAGCACTGGACAAAACGTCCACCACAGCCCCAACGTATTTTGTGTGAATCAGCCCTTAAAAATATGCAAAATCTTGAATCACCCCAGTCCAACATGTACAAAAGTGGTATGGATTTTAAGGGGGGGGGGGGGCCCACACAAAAACGCAAACAAAATATTCCCCCTTCACATTAGGAGTCCCCTTCATATCAGGGCCCCCCACTTTCATATCAGTGTCCCCCCTTACATCAGAGCACTCTTTTCTTTCAGAGTCCCCATTTTACATTAAAGTTCTCCCCATTACATCAGGAGCTCCCTTAACATCAGAAACCTCAGTCTCCCCACAACAGAGTCCTCCGTCCTCCTTCACAACAGAGTACTCAGTCCCCCTTCACATCAGGGTCCTCCCTTCACATCTAAATCCTGAGTCTCTCCTTCACATCAGAAGCCTCAGTCTCTCCTTCACATCAGAAGCCTCAGTCTCTCCTTCACATCAGAAGCCTCAGTCTCTCCTTCACATCAGAAGCCACAGTCCCCTTTCACATCAGAATCCTCAGTCTCTCCTTCACATCAGAAGCCTCAGTCTCTCCTTCACATCAGAATCCTCAGTCCCCTTTCACATCCGGATCCTCAGTCCACTTTCACATCAGGATCCTCAGTCCCTCCTTCACATCAGAGCTCTAAGTCCCCCTTTACATCAGAGTCCTCAGTCCTCCCTTTCACATCAGAGTCCTCAGTCCTCCCTTTCACATCAGAGTCTTCAGTCCCCTTCACATCAGAGACCTCAGTCTCCCTTCACATCAGAGTCCTCAGTCCTCCCTTCACATCAGAATCCTCAATCCCTTCACATCAGAGTCCTCAGTCCTCCCTTCACGTCAGAGTTTTTTTTATAGCACCCAGATGAAAAGGAGCACTACTCCTTCACTGCAAGGGTTAAGGCATTTTTTTCCTCAAGTTTTTCTTTAAAATTGTAATGTTTTTATTGATTTCATTTAACTTTATTACTGTTACATAGGGGGGGGGGGGGGGGGGA